GGGGGGGAAGGGGCTGCTGGTGCCTCTCTAATAGGTTGGGGGGGGGGCCAGCACCGCTCTCTGAGGGACTAATGCACCTTTCTTCGCTCCTCAGCTGTGGCTCAAGCATATGTATCCTGCTGTACAGCTCAGACTTGGAGGTGTAGCCCCCTCCATGCTAGAGCACTGAGGGGACCCCCTCCCCTGGCTTCTAGCCCAGCCCCCCGCCCTCCTCCTCTGCTTCAGCAGAGCAGCCTTTGGCCCGATGCTCTGGGCCAGCCGGTCTCCGAGAGCACTGGGGGCCACTGTGGGGGCTTCTCATAACGTGGCAGCAGTGCAAAATAACTGGGGGGGTTCTAGCCCCACGGGGAGCAGTGGGGGCTGGAGACATCCCCATCCCTCCCAGGAGCACGAATTCAGCTGGAGGTGTGCAGGGACCAGGGGCTGAGGCGAGAGCTGGGGGGAAGCTGGGGCTGCCGAGCTGCGCATCAGCGCGGCGTGGGTGAGCATGCTCAGCTGTTTGGCAGATGAGCAATGCGTTCTCCCCGCCAAGCCCACAAGCTGCTAATTTTAGCGATTACATGAATTTTTCCAAGCAGTCTCGAGTCCCTTGGTGATTCAGAGCCGCTCGGCTTTGCTGCGCCCGCCACCCTCGCCGTGGGGACGCACTGGAGGTGTGCCAGCATGGATGGACCTGGGACTGTCCCACTGTCTGGGAGTGAGGCAGGTCTCTGCAAAAATAGGTGACACTGCTGTTCTGGGGCTCCTGCAGCCTCCCCGGCTGGTGGTGTTCCTGGGCTGAGCTTGGCATGGGGGAGCCTTGTGGGGCTGGGAACCCAGACTGCGTTAAATGCAAGTGGCTCAGAGAGCATGGCCAAGGGTTGCCTGCTCCTGGTCCTGCCGGCCTCTGGGAGCCCCAGGGAGGGTAATGCTAGCTGGGAGCACTTGCGCAGGACCTCCAACCCTCCTGTGGGCTCAGCAGCATGGGGAGAAATGCCTGCAGAAAGTGCTGGGGGCTCTCGGGTGCAAGGGCACCTCCAGCCTGGGCTGCAGGGCAGCACCACACGCTTTTGCTTTTCTCTGCACAATGGTGTTTGGCCACTGCCTTTGGTGAGGAATCAGAAAACTGCCTTTGTGCAGGCGAGGAGGGCTGGGGGCTCTGGGGGAAGGAGCCACCCCCCCAGCCCAGCTGTGACCGCAGGTTTCACCATCAGCCGCGTCTCACAGGGGCACAGGGTCTGGCAGGTGCCCACCCTTGGGCTCCATCGTCCCCTTAGAGGCATAGGGACACAGCAGTGACACCACGCCACCCCGAGCTTGGTCTGGGGGGGTTCAGCCTTTCTCTGGCTGGGGTGGCTGGGGGGGGAGCACTGTTGGGCCCTGGGGCTTTCCTGCAGCATGAGGCTTGTTCCGCTCCATCCAGTGCCGTGTGAGCTCCCGGCTATGTGGAGCAGCCTCCCTCCACAAAACGCTTATCTCACCCTCAATCACATCCATGTGTTGTCTCAGGGGGGGACTGCCTCTCCCCTCCAGATGTGCAGAGCGTGTCCGTCCTGCTGTCCCAGGCGCTCACACCCTCTGCTTCTCTCCCTTGTGCGTAGCCTGGGGCAAGCTCCTGTGTGCTCACCTCCCGGTGCTGTTCCCTCTTCGCTGTGGTGCAGGGGCTTGTGCCGTTACTCAGCCTTGCTTTATTTTTAGGGTTGTCTTGAAAACAGACTCATCCTTGCCAGCCAGGAATCAGAGCCAGGTTCCTGAGGCCTGGGTAGAGGCAGCTGGGTTTTTGGCAGGGCTGTTATCTGGGCTCCTCTGAAACTTCGGTCACTCTGTATGGCTGTAGGGACTATAACCTGAACACCTCGCTCCCGGGAGCGGGGTCTTTGAGGGTACCTACCACTGCATCCTCGTCGTCCCCCCAGGGCAATACTGCTTGGAAGGAGCTGAGTCTGACATTCCTCTGTCAGACTGGGTTTGGGCTGGTGGTTTTTCGGAAGTGCTGGGCTCTAATTTTTGTGTTGCCTTGCTGAAAAGCTGTGTGCTTCTGTGATGAGTCAGAGCAGGCAGGGGCCCAGCAGTGCTGGCGCTGGCAGCAGGCAGACAGAGCCGGCGATAAGGGTGCGATAAGGCCACGAGAGCTGTGCTCTTGTGCCAGGGCTGCAGGGAGCGGGCAGCTCCCAAGCCCGCTGCCTGACCTCCAGCTGCACCGCTGTCAAGGAAGTGGGGAGGTTATTTTGGGAACCACGACGCTGGGAAAATCTGGTGTGTCAATAGAGCGTGAGCTAAAGCACTTGTGGGTGGTGTTTTCTAATTGCCTGTCCTTGGTGCTCAAATGCCTGGGCTTTGCCCCAGGAGCAGGCAGGGAGTGTGGCCGGGGGGTAGCCCCAGCCTTGGTGCTCGCTCCCCAGCTGGGGAGGTGTCTGTGGCCATCCAGCATGTCCCATGGCAGCCGGACCCCCCACGTAATCTGACATGTCGGCGGCGGTTGCCTTCGGCTGAAGTCCCACTCCCTATCCTCTTCCCACGATCCCTGTCGCCTTCCTCCGAGTCTGGCTGGAAGCTCCGCTTGCCATTCCTGCAGTTTGCGGTTTATCCTGGTCTGGTCCCCTCTTTGAACAGGGTCCTTGTCCCCTGCACTGCCCTGTACCCTCCCACCCCTCACAACATGACATGACACACTGCGGCATGGGGATGGAGGCAGCTTTGTCCCCTCTCTCCGGCAACAGCCCTGTGCTGTTCCCATCTCGAGCAGCTCATTAGCGCTGGCTGGGACCTGAGCAGGGGCTGCTGCTGCCGCCAAGGTAGGGTTTGCTGCGCCCGCCGGTGGAAACATGGGCGGTTTGAGACGGGATTAGACGTAGCCAGGGAAATTCCAGTTGCCCCGTGGTTAGCACAGGGCTGCTCGGGCTCCAGGAAGCCCAAAGGGGGCACGCATGCTGGCTGTCTTAATCTGCTTCCTCCCGAATATCCGTTCCCGGCAGCTCCTGGACTGGGCTGCATAGGAGAGGTGTATGGGGGGGGGACCTGGACTGGGCGGGGTGGCAGGGACGAAGGACACCCCTGTGCACCCATGTGGACTGGAGGGGGCAGGGGAGGGGTAGCAGCAGGTGCCCCTGAAGGATCGGATGGGATGGGCTTGTATCCTGCTTCCCAAACAGCCCTGGGTGCTGGGCTCCAACACCCATGTGTCAGGGCTGCTGAGGATGAAGAGCAGCATATGGGCTGCAGTGCAGCCGTGGGAGCCCCTGGGAGATGGCAGCGTGTGCTGCTTTGGAGTTGCAAGGCTGCCTGCAATCAGTGCCAAGGGGGTTTCTCAGCGCCCACAGGCATGGTGGTGCTGGCGGGAGGTGCTGTGGCTTGCCGAGGGCTCTCTGAAACAGCCTGGCCT